TAATTTGGAAGGCTCTGGATGGCACTGGGTGTCACTGGGGGGGAGTGGGGAGTTCTGGATGGGGTTTAGGGGACTCTGCAGTAAACGTGTTGGACCTGTAGTGGATGAGGTTTCTAGACGGAGCTGGGGACAGCTGTTGGAGGATGAGGTCTCTGAAGGGGGCTGAGGGCACTGCAGGGGTTGGGAGGCATGTGGGACACAGTTTAGGCATTAGGGGAGGTTGGGGGCTCAGCAAAAAGCTAGGGGGCACTAGGGAGGTTGGAGGGCACTGTGAGCACTGAAAGCTCCTAGGGTGCCTGGAGGCACTGTGAGAGTTTGAGGGGAAATCGGACCACTATAGGAGGTTGGGTGGTACTATAGGAGCTGGGAAGCTTTGTGGTAGGTTAGGGTATCTGTGACTAGCTGGAGGCCTGGAAGGAGGGAGACCATGGTATAGCAGTGTGCCTCAGCATGCTGGTTGAAAACCCCTGCTATACCATGCTATACCATGGTCTCTCTCCTTCCAAGCTTCCAGCTAGTCCCTGATACCCTAACATACCACAAAGCTTCCCAGCTCCTATAATACCACCCAACGTCCTATAGTGGTCCGATTTCCCCTCAAACTCTCACTTTTGGGACAACAACGACCTTACTTGAAGATCCATTGAAACAGAAGACTTGTTGGCCCTGTAGAGGATGATGTTTCTGAAGAGAGCTTTGGGACAATGGTCAAGGATGGGGTCTCTGGAGGGGACTATGGGTCTCTCTAGGTGGCTGGATCAATGGGGAGGACTGGATGGCACTGTGAAAAACCATTAGTGGGACTAGGGGGGCTGGAGGCTCTGCAGCAAGCTAGAGAACACTGTCAGTGGGTACTGTGGGAGGTTAGCAGGCACTGTGGGGGATCAAGGGCTCTTGGGGGGCTGAGGGTATTGTAAGAGTATGGGGCCACTGTCAGGACTGAGGGTTCTTAGGAGGCTTGGAGCCACTAAGAGAGATTGAGGGGCACTATGGACTACTTTGGGAGGTTGGGTGGCCCGGTGGTAGCTGGAGGCATTGTGGGAGGTTAGGGGATCTGAGGCTAGCTGGAGGCCCGGGAGGAGGGAGACCATGGCACAGCAGTGTGCCACAGCACGCTGGTTGAAAACCACTGCCTTAAACTTTTGGGGCAATAACGACCTTACTTGAAGATCCATTGATAAAGCAGACTTGGTGGCCCTGTAGAGGATGATGTTTCTGAAGAGAGCTTGGGATAATGGTCAGGGATGGGGTCTCTGGAGGGGACTATGGGTCTCTCTAATTGGTTGGGGGTTTTGCAGGGTCAATGTGGGAGACTGGATGGCACTGTGGAACACCATTAGTGGGGACTGGAGGCTCTGCGGCAAGCTAGAGGGCACTGCTGGTGTAGGTGGGCACAGCGGGAGGCTGGTAGGCACTGTGGGGGAGAATGGTGAGCACTCTGGGGACTGAGTGCTCTTAGGGGGCTGAGGGCACTGTAAGAGTATGAGGGGCACTATGGGAGCTGAGAGGCACTGTGGGAGAATGGCGAGCACTAAGGGGACTAAGGGGGTTTTCGGGGGCATAGAGGCACTGTGATAAATTGAGGAGCGCTGTCGACCATTTTTGGGAGGTTGGGTGGCCCTGTGGTAGCTGGGAGGCATTGTGGGAGGTTAGGGGATCGGCAGCTAGCTGGAGGCCCGGGAGGAGGGAGGCCGCGGCACGGCAGTGGGCCATGGCCCGGTGGTTGAGAACCACTGGTCAGGGCAAGGTGTGAGGGGTGTTTTTTGGGACAGGCTTAAGGAGGGCTGTAGATGGCCTACAGGTATGAGGGGCACTATGGGTGCTGAGAGACATTGTGGGAGAATGGCGAGCACTAAGGGGACTAAGGGGTTTTCAGGGGCTTAGAGGCACTGTGAGAAATTGAGGAGCGCAGTGGACAATTTTGGGAGGTTCGGTGGCCCTGTGGTAGCCGGGAGGCATTGTGGGAGGTTAGGGATCGGCAGCTAGCTAGAGGCCACAGCACGGCTGTGGGCCATGGCCGGTGGTTGAGAACCGCTGATCAGGGCAAGGTGTGAGGGGAGTTTTTGGGGACAGGCTTAAGAAGGGCCATAGATGGCCTTCGGGTATGCGGGGCACTATGGGAGCTGAGAGACATTGTGGGAGAATGGCAAGCACTAAGGGGTTTTCGGGGCTTAGAAGCACTGTGAGAAATTGAGGAGCGCTGTGGACCACTTTTGGAGGTTAGGTGGCCCTGTGGTAGCCGGGAGGCATTGTGGGAGGTTAGGGATCGGCAGCTAGCTAGAGGCCTGGGAGGAGGGAGGCCGCGGCTCGGCAGTGGGCCATGGCCCGGTGATTGAGAACCACTGGTCAGGGCAAGGTGTGAGGGGAATTTTTGGGGACAGGCTTAAGGAGGGCGGTAGATGGCCTATAGGTATGAGGGGCACTATGGGAGCTGAGAGACATTGTGGGAGAATGGCAAGCACTAAGGGGACTAAGGGGTTTTCGGGGGCTTATAGGCACTGTGAGAAATTGAGGAGCGCTGTGGACCACTTTTGGAGGTTGGGTGGCCCTGTGGTAGCTGGGAGGCATTGTGGGAGGTTGGGAATTGGCAGCTAGCTAGAGACCATGGCACGGCAGTGGGCCATGGCCCGGTGGTTGAGAACCGCTGGTCAGGGCAAGGTGTGAGGGGAGTTTTTGGGGACAGGCTTAAAAAACGGCGGTAGATGGCCTATAGGTATGAGGGGCACTATGAAAGCTGACAGACATTGTGGGAGAATGGCGAGCACTAAGGGGACTAAGGGGTTTTCAGGGGCTTAGAGGCACTGTGAGAAATTGAGGACTGCTGTGGACCACTTTTGGAGGTTGGGTGGCCCTGTGGTAGCCAGGAGGCATTGTGGGAGGTTAGGGATCGGCAGCTAGCTAGAGGCCTTGGCACGGCAGTGGGCCATGGCCTGGTGGTTGAGAACCACTGGTCAGGGCAAGGTGTGAGGGGAGTTTTTGGGGGACAAGATTAGGAAGGGCCGTAGAAGGCCTACAGGGGTGCCATTGAATAAAAACACCACGTAAATGAAAATTGTACATCACTCGGTATCATAAAGTACACCATAGATGCCAAAATGCGCCTGACATTGCCCCCTGCAGGATCCCCGCAGTATAACTATAACAGGTAAAGAAAAGAATAAATGAGTATTTAAAAAAAAAAAAAAAAAAAAAAAAAAAAAAAACCACGCGGACAAAGGGAAACATTTTCACAAGTTCTGGTCAATTTACTAAATATACATCTTTTACAGGAAACAACGTGAAGATTCCTTATACAAAGTGAAATATTTACAAGGAAAAACGCGCAGACATGGGGCGGAGGAATGTGATTGGAGCGGAAGGATGAGCAATGCGTGACGCTTCAAAGGGACGCAATAAATCATCTTCGGGGACACAAGGCAAACAAAGGTCATCGATCAGAGCAAGATGTCCTAATGTAGCAAATCCGATACAAAAAGACAAAAATCAATACGGCTCTGTACTCATGAATACATCATCCAGTGTGAAGCCTCTGGAACTCCCTGTACAGCAGAGCTCAGAACGAAGGACGGAGAAGCAGCACAAGGAGCCAATCAGGTGTGCCGCAGTACTTACAAAGAGCATGCGGATGGTCTATTTTTTGGCAGGTCCTATTTCTGCTTAGTAGTGCCGCACCACAGCTGTGCATTGCCCATTCCCCCTTATCTCTACTGAAAGACTGCTGACCATCTTCAGTTTTTAATTATGTGAAAACCCCACAAGGCTCCTGGTAGCCTGGTTCTGAGGTCAGGTGAGAGGGATTGTGGACATTAGCATTCCGGCTTAATCGATCAAACAAAAAGCATTAACAAGGGAGTGTAGCTTTGTCTGCTGCCTGGGGTTCTCATCCACCTTAAATCGGGTCACAAAGAAAGAGCGGGCCCCAACAACGCCAGCTAAGTGTAAAGCTTTTTTCTTTTTTTTTTAAATTAAAATAGCCCCATCTAGTGTCTGAAAAAAGTAACTGCAATGCTTACCTGGTCTCCACCTCAGTAGCTTTGCCCCACCACAAGGTGTCCTTTGAAGACGACTGAGGACATACCGTGAGAGCAGAGGGTCGTGGAACCACCCCTTAAAGGGGCATCTGCCCTGCAATCGCATACACAGATGAGGGATGCGGCGCTCTCGTTATCACCTCACTCTCTGCTCCAAGCCCAACCAGTTTTGCTCATCTTCGTGGACGCTTGAGAAGAGGCAAATACCCCCCCTTATTTTTTTCTGGAGCCAAAACATTGTGTTCTTGGTGGCCTTTCACTGATACTAAGAATCCTTCCACTTCATGACAGTGGAACTCTAAAGAGTAGAGTGGCCGATGTGGACTTAAATATTCCAAAGGAGCCATCACTCAACCTTCACTCCTTCCTTAATACCAAGTCCAACCCTTGCATCGTCTGGGCCCACCACTGATGGAGGGAGTAGGTCTAGTCTGAGTCAGAATGGAAAATGTGCTAGAAAAAAAACTATGTATGTTAGAGCAAAAAAATATCAATTATATTCTAATATTCCCTTCTATGTTATCCTGAAAGTACAAAAAAAAAATACCTGTTCGTATGCCAGAAATCCAGTGAACTCCTCATTTCCTGCTTGGGTTGACAACACAACGCCTCTGCTGCACTGGAGTCCCAGCTGACATTGTCATCCCTCGCCTGTCCCCCCTCCATATTCCCAGAAAAACAGTGCTATTAGCCTGACTTCCATGAGATAACCACACACTAAGGGTAAGGAAAAGGCTCTTGGAAGATGTAGCTCTGGGGCCATGCCTACATCAATAGGAACTCAATATATATCATGGATAATGTATGTACACCCACTACAGTTTAGAGGCACCAACTAGTTTATGTATTGTATAAAAGTTGTCTGGGATAATAAACGTTATACAATGTATCATATGTATACGTGGCAAATACAAAGTAGAGCAAAGTAAATCGGTCAGACTAGGATTTCTCAGCCAGGGTTCCATGGAATCCCAGGGTTCTTCAAGAGGTTTCTCAGCCAGGGTTTCATGGAATCCCAGGGTTCTTCAAGATGTTTCTCAGCCAGGGTTGCATGGAATCCCAGGATTCCTCCAGAGGTTTCTCAGCTAGGGTCCCATGGAATCCCAGGGTTCTTCAAGAGGTTTCTCAGCCAGGGTTCCATGGAATCCCAGGGTTCCTACAGAGGTTTCTCAGCCAGGGTTCCATGAAATCCCAAGGTTCCTCCAAAAGTTTCTCAGCCAGGGTTCCATGGAATCCCAGGGTTCCTCCAGAGATTTCTCAGCCAGGGTTCCATGGAATCCCAAGGTTCCTCCAGAGGTTTCTCAGCCAGGGTTCCATGGAACCCCAGGGTTCCTCCAGAGGTTTATCAGCCAGGGTTCCATGGAATCCCAGGGTTCCTCCAGAGGTTTATCAGCCAGGGTTCCATGGAATCCTAGGGTTCCTCAAGAGGTTTCTCAGCCAGGGTTCAATGGAATCCCAGGGTTCCTCCAGACGTTTCTCAGCCAGGGTTCCATGGAATCCCAGGGTTCCTCAAGAGGTTTCTCTGCCAGGGTTCAATGGAATCCCAGAGTTCCTCCAGAGGTTTCTCAGCCAGGGTTCCATGGAATCCCAAGGTTCCTCAAGAGGTTTATCAGCCAGGGTTCCATGGAATCCCAGGGTTCCTCCAGAGGTTTATCAGCCAGGGTTCCATGAAATCCCAGGGTTCCTCCAGAGGTTTCTCAGCCAGGGTTCCATGGAATACCAGGGTTCCTCAAGAGGTTTCTCAGCCAGGGTTCCATGGAATCCCAGGGTTCCTCCAGAAGTTTCTCAGCCAGGGTTCCATGGAATCCCAGGGTTCCTCCAGAGGTTTCTCAGCCAGGGTTCCATGGAATACCAGGGTTCCTCAAGAGGTTTCTCAGCCAGGGTTCCATGGAATCCCAGGGTTCCTCCAGAGGTTTCTCAGCCAGGGTTCCTCCAAAGGTTTCTCAGCTAGGGTTCCATGGAATCCCAGGGTTCCTCCAGAGGTTTCTCAGCCAGGGTTCCATGGAATCCCAGGGTTCCTCAAGAGGTTTCTGCCAGGGTTCCATGGAATCCCAGGGTTCCTCCAAAGGTTTCTCAGCTAGGGTTCCATGGAATCCCAGGGTTCCTCCAGAGGTTGCTAGGGGGTTCCCTGAGCAACTAGCCATTTCTTCCTCTCAGATAAGTTCCCACTGACACCACTGATCCTATTAGCTATCTTTAAAGGGGTAATTCCTCCCAATGACCACAAGTGTAAAGAGCATTCTTCCCACTGACCATCACACTAGTGCAGGGGTCTCCAAACTTTCTAAACAAAGGGCCAGTTTACTGTCCTTCAGACTTTAGGAGGACCAGACTGTAGCCAATCAGCAGTAGAAAATATCCATGCATCAGTTGGAGTAATCAATACCCCATTTTTGGTGTTAGTAGGAGGAATAGTGCCCCATTGTTTGGGTCATTGGAAAGGAATTGTGCCCCATCAATGGTGTCATTGGACCCCATTGTTAGGGTTATGGGGAGGAATTGTGCCCCATCATTTATGTCACTGGGACCCATTTCTGGTGACATTGGGAAGAATTGTGCCCCATTGTTGGTCTCATTGATAAGAACTGGACCCCATCGTTTGGGTCATTGGGAGGATTTTGTGCCCCTTTGTTGGTGTCAGTGAATTAAATTGTGCCCCAGTAAGGGCTGGATAAATGCAAGCAAAGGGCCACATCTGGCCCCTGGGCTGCAGTTTGGAGACCACTGCACTAATGTATCATTATTATTATTATACAGGATTATAGCGCAGATGACGGAGAAGTTTACAAGGGCGGTTATTTCAAGGGTTCCTTTTGTGTTGAAAAGGTGGAGTCAGACATTGAGACAAAATTGAGGCCCCGAAATATTGGATGTTTTGACCTCACATTTGTCTCGTCGAGATTTTTGGACCATCATCTTTGTTATGCTTTATCCCTATACTTTGTATCTCATATGTTCTCTACTTTTTGTATTTCATGCTTCACTGTCACTGTGTATAAATATGATACGTTGTGTATGTTTAGTATCCGTGACTACTTTTTCATTGGGAAGTTGGTGAGATGGCCCCTGAAATCAGTCTAAGCCCCCCCACCGTGCTCTTTCTTATACTATACATTCACTTGTGAAGAGGTGTGTGTACAAGATGCCAGGGATGGGTCCTGGACAGGAGATATATGTGTCCCGATTATTTGGGTTGTGGTCCCTTTAGAGAGATAAGAAACATTTTTGGAGTACGCAGGGATTCTCACTCTGAGAGGTTCTGAGGTGGTCCTTTTAGAAAGGAGAACGCTGATTAACAGTTTTCTCAGGATTGGCAAGTCCTGGCATGGGACCCAGGACCAGGACTAGGGGTGGGCAGGAGGGTAAGCTACCTGGGCACTGTGGTATCATGTGAGACCCAACTTCCAGTTGCCGGGTGAAAGCAGCTGGCTTGAATTGGAATCTGGAAATCAGAGGGCCTACTCATCTCAGACAGGGCCCTCTGAGTTTCCTTTGTTACATAGGTGGTAGTTGGGGCCAAAGGTCAACTTTTGCAGTGAAGCCCATAAGCTCCAAGCTACGTCTATGCTCCTGTGGCCTTTATCTTGATCTCAAGGCAAGTGGGAACCTCAAACCCTGGTGTGGGACTTGTTTATACTGGTGCTGAGCCAATTCTTTGTGTACCTGGAGTGTGGACTTGTTTTTGTGTGATATGCTGAGGGAAGCCAGGGTGACAGGGACAAGTCCTTTACCCAAGTGGCTCACTCTCTGCTCAGCCCTTCCCCGCCCTGCTCAAACATGCACACAAGATGGTGGAAAGTAGACCCCACTCTCAGTTGCCGGGTGAAAGCAGTGGGCTTGAATGGGAATCTGGAAATCAAAGGGTCCACCCATCCCAGGCAGGGCCCAGGCCTGGCCCTCTGAGTTTCCTCTGTTACGTAGGTGGTAGTTGGGGCCAAAGGTCAACTTTTGCAGCGAAGCCCATAAGCTCCAAGCTACGTCTATGCTCCTGTGGCCTTTATCTGGATCCCAAGGCAGGTGGGAACCTCAAACCCTGGTGTGGGACTTGTTTATACTGGTGGTGAGCCAATTCTTTGTGTACCCAGAGTGTGGACTTGTTTTTTTGTGTGATATGCTAAGGGAAGCCAGAGTGACGGGACAAGTCCTTTACCCAAGTGGCTCACTCTCTGCTCAGCCCTTTCCCGCCCTGCTCAAACGTGCACACAAGATGGTGGAAAGTAGACCCCACTCTCACTTGCTGGGTGAAAGCAGCGGGCTTGAATGGGAATCCGGAAATCAGAGGATCCACCCATCCCAGGCAGGGTCCTCTGAGTTTCCTCTGTTACATAGGTGGTAGTTGGGGCTCAAGGTCAACTTTTGCAGCAAATCCCATAAGCTCCAAGCTATGCCTATGCTCCTGTGAAACATTTTTTGGAGTACGCAGGGATTCTCACTCTGAGAGGATCTGAGGTGGTCCTTTTCGAAAGGAGAAAGCTGATTAACAGTTTTCTCAGGATTGGCAAGTCCTGGCATGGAACCCAGGGCCAGGACTAGGGGTGGGCAGGAGGGTCAGCTTCCTCGGCACTGTGGTATCATGTGAGACCCCACTCTCAGTTGCTGGGTGAAAGCAGCTGGCTTGAATTGGAATTTAGAAATCAGAGGAATCCACCCATCCCAGGCAGGGTCCTCTGAGTTTCCTCTGTTACATAGGTGGTAGTTGGGGCCCAAGGTCAACTTTTGCAGCAAATCCCATAAGCTCCAAGCTACGCCTATGCTCCTGTGGCCTTTATCTGGATCCCAAGGCAGGTGGGAACCTCAAACCCTGGTGTGGGTCTTGTTTATACTGGTGGTGAGCCAATTCTTTATTTTGTGTACCCAGTGTGTGGACTTGTTTTTGTGTGAAATCAGAGGGTCCACCCATCCCAAGCCGGACCCTTTGAGTTTGCTCTGTTACATAGTGGTAGTTAGGACCAGGGGCGGACTGACAACTCATAGGGCCCCCGGGCAATAGGGGATCATGGGGCCCCTGTGTCTTCGCCCACACTCAAACCACACTCACAAAAGCCTATGAAAAGGTACCAGGGGCATCTCATGGGGCCCCCTACTGACCCCGAGCCCTTGGTCAGTGCCCGAGTTCCCAAATGGTCAGTCCGCCCCTGGTTGGGGCCCAAGGTCAACTTTTGCAGCGAAGCCCATAAGCTCCATGCCGGGCCCTCCGAGTTTCTTCTGTTACATAGGAGGTAGTTGGGGCCCAAGGTCAACTTTTGCAGCGAAGCCCATAAGCTCCAAGCTACGTCTATGCTCCTGTGGCCTTTATCTGGATCACAAGACAGGTGGGAACCTCAAACCCTGGTGTGGGACTTGTTTATACTGGTGGTGAGCCAATTCTTTGTGTACCTGAAGTGTGGACTTGTTTTTGTCTGATACGCTGAGGGAAGCCATTTTGTTTTTAAAAGTCTGGCTGGTGATTCCCCCCCCCCCCCCCCCCCTTCATGTCCGCTCTTTGACTAACCTCCCAAGCCTGGCGATGAGTAGGAAAAGCTGTGTCCTGCTACAGGAACAAAGTAAAAGAAGAAAAAACGAATGCCGGGACATGATGTAGAGGTGGAGAGGGGAGGTTTGGGGGGTCAATTGGGGTGATGCCTGGAAATGCACTTTAAGCACAAAAATACCCAACACTCCCATGGATGAATGAAGTATTTCTAAAACAACAAGTTCACATCTATTCATCGTATATCTGAGTATAGAGTATAGTAGGTAGGTTCCGTTAATCTCTAAAAGGCCATAGAATGAAGAAATCCTAGAACCCGATGACCAAAAACAACCAAAAAACATTCATGAACGACCTTCCCTTGGGACAAGAGGTCGAATTCTAATGTCCTACTAAGTTTCCTTCTATGAGGTCCATCGATCATTTCCCGAACAAAAAAAAAAAAAAATCAAATTCTGCAAAATGATTCGGATTCTGTAAAATAAACGTTTTCACAGTTTGCCCAAAACCCCCCCAAAAAAGGTCGGAAAGTCGGAAATTGGCGATTTCCGTCACCGGCGTTTTCGGGGACCTAAGCCAGTCTTTAAAGCGGGAACACTTAAACGGCTACATCGAAATATTTTCTGACAGATACGTCGATCTCTGTAGACAGAACCCTCAGTTCTGGCTCCCCAAGACGTCATGACGTCATCTAGTGCCCGCCCCCCCCCAACTCTGCAGTTCTACAAACGTCATACAGTAAGAAGGAATTCTTTTTTTTTTTTTTTTTTTTTTTCTTTTTTTACAAAATACATGTTGCTTTTGATTTTTCTGAAACCACGGAATCTATAGAATTCTTTTTTTTTTTTTTTTTGTTTTTTTTTTTTGTGTGTGTAACAAATACTTATATGATACTAACGGAATTATACAAAATGCATAAAAGACTCGATTAATACAAAAGTGCTACAAGAACTCCTTACGTACTGTAAGTTGATGCACAGACCATGATTGTACGCTTTTTAATTTTTGCTAAATTTTTTTTTTTTTTTTTTTTTTTTTTTTTTTTTTTATCGTGTGCGTGTAAGATAGGTGTAGCCGGAACTGAAGGAGGAGAGCACGATGCGCGGTGACGGTTATGGCACAGCTGTAAGATTATAAGGGCTTGCCGAATCAATGTGACGGTCGGGCTCTTTGGAGTAGAAAGGAAAAGGAGCCCCGATTCCACGACTTTTATACCCGGTGAGGAGGTCACGACGGAAAGGCTTCTTATCTGTCGTTCGTCAGAGGGGAGTTCGTCCCTTCGTCCTCCTCCTCTTTGTCGTCTTTCATCCCTTTCAGTCTTTGACGGGCGAAGTCTTCGAAAACGATATCGTCATCGCTGATGGGGGAGGGTAAAAAAAGGACAAAGTTAGTCTGGGATTTCATAAGAGCATGCCAGAGCGTTTCGTGAACGCGCGCATTTGCGCGCTTTTTATTTTGTTAGCATTTTTCGCGCCGCACGCATAGGGCAGCTTATTCATTTTCCCATCAAAAAGGCCGGAGCCACAGTGCGGTCAGCATATATGGTCATCCTTTCGTTTATTAATGGACAAGGCAAAATACAGCCAAATAGAAATCCGACGCGTTTCGTCCGTTAGGCTGTAATCATGGATACCATAAACGTATCATAATCACTAAAAATGATGATCAAAAAAATCACATGATCCAGGAAAAGTAATTTCTTTTCCCTTCCACATTTTTTGTTCACGTACCTTTTCCTGGATCATGGTAGAGATGATTAAGGCCTAATGGACGAAACACGTTGGGTGACAATCCACAAAAAGTAGCATTTTTCTCTTTCCATTTTTTGTTCAGGTACCTTTTCCTGGATCATGGTAGCAATGTTTAAGGCCTAATGGACGAAACACGTTGGGTGACGAGCCACAAAAAGTAGCATTTTTCTCTTCCCATTTTTTGTTCATGTGGCTTTTTCTGGATCATCATTCATTGACAAGGCAATACAGCCAAATAGAAATCCTACGTGTTTCGTCTATTAGGCCTTAATCATGGATACCATAAAAGTATCACACTTACTATAAATAACGATCAAAAAAATCACGTGATCCAGAAAAAGTAAAAAAATTTTCTCTTCCCCCGTTTTGTTCAGGTACCTTTTCCTGGATCATGGTAGCGATGATTAAGGCCTAATGGACAAAACACGTTGGGTGACGAGCCACAAAAAGTAGCATTTTTCTCTTTCCATTTTTTGTTCAGGTGGCTTTTTCTGGATCATCATTCAATGCATTTCGTCCATTAGGCCTTAATCATGGATACCATAAAAGTATCACAATCACTAACAAAAATGATCAAAAAAATCACATGATCCAGGAAAAGTAATTTTTTTTCTCTTCCACATTTTTTGTTCAGGTACCTTTTCCTGGATCATGGTAGTGATGATTAAGGCCTAATGGACGAAACATGTTGGGTGACGATCCACAAAAAGTAGCATTTTTCTCTTTCCCATTTTTGTTCAGGTGGCTTTTTCTGGATCATCATTCAATGCGTTTCGTCCATTAGGCCTTAATCATGGATACCATAAAAGTATCACAATCACTAAAAATGATGATCAAAAAAATCACATGATCCAGGAAAAGTAATTTTTTTTCTCTTCCACATTTTTTGTTCAGGTTCCTTTTCCTGGATCATGGTAGCGATGATTAAGGACTAATGGACGAAACACGTTGGGTGACGAGCCACAAAAAGTAGCATTTTTCTCTTTCCATTTTTTGTTCAGGTGGCTTTTTCTGGATCATCATTCAATGACAAGGCAATACAGCCAAATAGAAATCCTACGTGTTTCGTCTATTAGGCCTTAATCGTGGATACCATAAAAGTATCACACTCACTATAAATAACGATCAAAAAAATCACATGATCCAGAAAAAGTTAAAAAATGTTCTCTTCCCCGTTTTTTGTTTAGGTACCTTTTCCTGGATCGTGGTAGTGATAATTAAGGCCTAATGGACGAAACGCGTTGGGTGACGATCCACGAAAAGTAGCATTTTTTTCTTTTCCCCGGTTTTTGTTCAGGTGACTTTTCCTGGATCATGGTAGCAATGATTGAATCCTAATGGATGAAGCGCATTGGAAGACGATCCAGGAAAAGTAAAATTTTTTTCTCTTCCCCGTTTTTTGTTCAGGTGGCTTCTCCTGGATCATGAGCCAACGCATTTCGTCCATTAGTCCTTAATCCTGGATACCATAAAAGTATCACAATTACTATAAATAATGATGAAAAAAATCACAAGATCCAGGAAAAGTAATTTTTTTTCTCTTCCCCAGTTTTTGTTCAGGTGGCTTTTCCTGGATCATCATTCAACGCGTTTCGTCCATTAGGCCTTAATCATGGATACCATAAAAGTATCTCAATTACTATAAATAACGATCCAAAAAAAATCATATGATCCAGGAAAAGAAACTTTTTTTTCTCTTCCCCATTTTTTGTTCAGGTGACTCTTCCTGGATCATGGTAAGTGATGATTAAGGCCTAATGGATGAAACACGTTAAATATTGATCCAGGAAAAGTAAATTTTTTTTATCTTCTCCGATTTTTGTTCAGATGGCTTTTCCTGGATCATGGTAGCAATGATTACGTCCTAATGGATGAAGCGCATTGGAAGACGATTCAGGAAAAGTAATTTTTTTTTCTCTTCCACATTTTTTGTTGAGGTGGCTTTTCCTGGATCATCAGCCAATGCATTTCGTCCATTAGGCCTTAATCATGGATACCATAAAAGTATCACAATTACCATAAATAATGATTCAAAAAAATCACATGATCCAAGAAAAGTAATTTTTTTTCTCTTCCACAGTTTTTGTTCAGGTGGCTTTTCCTGGATCATCATTCAACGCGTTTCGTCCATTAGGTCTTAATCATGGATACCATAAAAGTGTCACAATTACTATTAATAACGATCCAAAATAAATCCTATGATCCAGGAAAAGAAACTTTTTTTTCTCTTCCCCATTTTTTGTTCAGATGACTCCTCCTGGATCATGGTAGCGATGATTAAGGCCTAGTGGAAAAAACATGTTGGCTGATGATCCAGGAAAAGTCAAAAACATTTTTCTCTTCCACATTTTTTGTTCAGTTGGCTGTTCCTGGATCATCAGCCAACGCATTTCGTCCATTAGACCTCAATCATGGATACCATAAAAGTATCACAATTACTATAAATAATGATCAAAAAAATCACATGATCCACGTATTATTATAGTGATTGTGATACTTCTATGGAAGCCATGATTAAGCCCTAATGGTCGAAACGTGTTGGAGATGATCCAGGAAAAGTCACCTGCACAGAAAATGGGGAAGGGAAAAAAATTTGACTTTTCCTGGATCACGTGATTTTTTTGGATCATTATCTGTAGTGATTGTGATACTTTTATCGTAGAAATGATTAAGGCCTAATGGACGAAACGCGTTGGTTTTTTATTCGGCTGTATCCCACTATATTTTATGGTAGAAATGATTAAGGCCTAATGGACGAAACGCGTTGGTTTTCTATTCGGCTGTATCCCACTATATTTTATGGTAGAAATGATTAGGGCCTAATGGACGAAACGCGTTGGTTTTCTATTCGGCTGTATCCCACTATAATTATGGATGACCGTATATGCTGAATGTGCTGTGGTTCTGGAATTTTTGGTGGACTTTGCAGCACTGAAGGTTACCTGAGACCGTTTAGCCTGAGCAATGGACATTTAGAGTTACTAATGGCAGAGGAGGGTGCAGCGCTGTCCCGTCTGTTTCAGCTCATTCATGTTAATGGGCTGCTGCGCTACGCTACGCACAACAAATGGGCCGAAGTAGCTCCTGTAGCTTTTTTGAGCGATGAGTTTTATGCCTTTTTCGAACTAAGCCTTTGTCATGCATTGCATTTCGTCAAAGCGCGCAAAATGTGAGATGTTGCCTACATTCACGAAACGCTCAGATGTGAATGGGGCCTTAAGGGTAACCTAAGTGGCATGAAAAACGACATATATCAGAGTTTAGAGTCTTATGGCGTCCTAGGTGGACCCAGAATGTCTTTTTCAGCAGGCTGACTAGGAAGCCCTCGTGGGCCACCCACCTCCTTGTCATCAATGAGAATTGATTGGTTTTCCTTCAGCTGTTCATTTACTAGCTTTCCATATGGAAAGGACATCTTTGAAGGCATTCAGGTACTCATTAGGGTTGGTAATGAAGATGACTTGGACATTCCGGGGAAGGGGGTTATGGGCACATATTAAGCAATCCTTTGGAGGACTATATTTGTAAAAAAGGTTAAGAACTCCTGATATACAGTATGGTGTACACTCACTGAGCACTTTATTGGGAGGTCCTATACACCGGCCTATTCATACAATTATCAAATCATGTGGCAGTAGAGTTGTGTATAAAATCCTACAGATACTGGTCAGGATTTTCAGTTATTATTCAAATCAAACACCAGAATGGGATAAGATGTAGGCTAAGTGATTGTGACCGTGGCATGATTGTTGAGGCCAGGTATTAGGTATTTCGGGATCTGCTGATCTCCTGAGATTTTCACATACAACGGTCTCTAGAAAAAATTAAAAACCATCCAGTGGGCATCAGTTCTGAGGACTGATGCTCAATCTTGAGGAGAATGGACAGAGAATGGTCAAACTGGTTGGAGTTTAAGGAAAGGCTCCAGGAAATTAGACCACCACTTTTTTCAACTGTGGTGAGCAGAAAACCATCTCAGGATGTCAAACAGTGGGAAGCTTGAGATGGGTGACCTCCTCAAACCATGGAACCTTGAGGAGGATACCCTACTCAACACATTGAACCTTGAGGAGGGTGACCTCTTCAGCACATGGGACCCTGAGAAGGAAGACCTCAACACATGGAACATTGAGAAGGATGTCCTCCTCAACACATGGATCCTTGAGAAAGATGACCACCTCAACACATGGAACCTTGAGAATGATGTCATCCCCAACACATGGATCCTTGAGGACGATGACCTCCCCAACACATGGAACCTTGAGGAGGATGACCTCCTCAACATACGGAACCTTTAAGAAGGAAGATCTCCTTAACACTTGAAACCTTGAGGAAGATGACTTCCTCAACACATGAAATCTTGAGAAGGAAAACCTCCTCAACACATGGAACGTGGAGGGGGATGGCCTTCCCAGCACATGGAACCTCGAGAAGGAAGGACTCCTTAACCCATGGAACCTTGAAATGGAAGACCTCCTCAACACATGGAAAGTTGATGAAGAAGACCTCCTCAACAGATGGAACCTTGAGAAGGAAGACCTCCTCACCACATGGAACCTTAAGGAGGATGACCTCCTCAACACGTGGAACCTTGAAATGGAAGACCTCCTCAACACGTGGAACCTTGAAATGGAAGACCTCCTCAACACGTGAGCCTTGAGGAGGATGACTTCTTCAACACATGGAACCTTAAAGTGATTCTAAAAGCTTTTTTTTTTTTTAATAACAAACATGTCTATACTTACCTGATGTGTGTAGTATTTTTGCACAGAGCAGCCTGGATCCTCCTCTTTTCGGGTCCCCTGCCAGCACTCCCGGCCCCTCTCTCAGCTGTCGGGTGTCCCCAGAGCAAGCAGCTTGCTCTGGGTATCCATTCACACATGGAGCCACGGCCCCACCCCTTCTCGCTTCTCATTGGCTCACTGGCTGTGAATGACAGCAGTGGGAGCCAATGGTTCCCACTTCTGTCTCAACCAATGAGAAGAGGGAGTCCTAGGATAGCCAAGACTCCAGTGAACATCGTTGGATTCAGAGGGGGCTTAGGTGAACACAGAAGGTTTTTTACTTTCACGCATGGCATGCATGAAGGTAAAAAACCTTGAGCCTTTACAACCACTTTAAGAAGGAAGACCTCCTCAACACATGGAACCTTGAGAAGGAAGACTCCTGAACACATGGAACCTTGAGAAGGAAGACCTCCTCAACACATGGAGCCTGAGAAAGAAGACTTCCTCAACACATGGAACCTGAGATGAGAATGGAGTCTTGAGAAGGAAGACCTCCTCAACACATGGAACCTTGAAAGGAAGACTCCTCAACACATGGAACCTTGAGAAGGAAGACCTCCTCAACACATGGAACCTTGAGAAGGAAAGACCTCCTCAACACATGGAACCTTGAGAAGGAAGACCTCAACACATGGAACCTTGAGATGGACTACAACAGTAGAAGACCACATTGGGTTCCTCCTCAACAGAAAGTTGAGGCTGTGGAACTTGAGGAGCCTTGAATGACTTTTTCTGAGGAAAACTTTCTCATGGAACCTTAAAGAAGATGAACTACAACAGCAGAAGGCCACGTTGGGTTCCTGTCCACCAAAAACGAAAGTTGAGCTGCAGTGGGCAAAGGGTCACCAAAACTGGACAGAATGGAATAATAAGCCTTGTTTGATTGATCTCCATTTTTGCTGAGGAACACAGATGGCACACTGGTCACGAGATCTGAATTCAGTAGAACACGTTAGGATGAGGAGAAATGAGAGATTCTAAGGATGAGGAGAAATGAAAGAATTCTACTGATGATTTTGAGAAACGAGTGGTGCAACCATTTCAAACACACACCAAAAATGCTTGTGGAATACTGAATCCAGGCCGCAAAGAACTAAGGGAAGCCTGACCCAATATTTGCATAGTGCTCCTTACAAACTGCTCAGTGAGTGTATATATAATAAGTATGAAGTCTCCTCTAAGATAAAGTGTCAATAAAACCACAAATTTAACACATACTAAATCTAATAGTACAATAACAAAAATAATGGTTTCAACGTATGCAATGTTTTATTTTTTTTCATTAGCTGTTTGTGATGTTGCAGAGCATAAAACCGCCTGGAAAGCGAGAAAACAGCAATTTGCACATTAAAAAAAAAATACTGAAGTCTTACTTTGCTTTTCCCTTCCCTATAGGCATGCAGAGAAGCGTGGAAGCCATGCAAAAAAAAATAAAAAATGATCAGACAAGACATGCGTTAGTAAGGCACAAGCAGCTCCCCGCATCGCGGAATGACGTCAGTCAGTTAATAGAAATGACATGGCTTTGACAATCAGGCATGTCCCGCTTACTTTGTATCAAACTCTATCAGATTTGTATCTATAGGTGCTTCATTCTCTGGAACTAAAAAGAAAAACAAGTGGTTAACGTTAAAGTCCCTGAAAACACGGAACGTGGAATACTCCTGTAAAGAAAACAAAAAAACTTGACTTAGTAAAAGCTTTTTTTAGATTTTGAACTACCTGGAGAAGGTTTGGAACCCTATCAAGCATTTGGGTTGCTCTCCATGTCTTCATTGGGGAGATTTACATTCATTTCCTGCTGGAAGTGCCATGAAAAAAGGGAAATTCCCCACAATGGTGACACATGCAACAATGAATATCAATGAAGAAATACAGTATATTCACCACTTCTAAGCCCATAAGAACACCCCCCGAAGCAACCTGAGCACCAAAAGCTCATCCTATGCTCCACAATGCCACTGAACCCAAAAACGAAAAAGCTGGTGGCACTCCATTAAAATTCAATACAGTTTTATTGTTCCACACAAGCCAACATGAAGTCCCTGTAAACACGGAACGTGGAATACTCCTGTAAAGGAAACAAAACTTGATTTTTAAAAGCTTTCTTTTAGGTCTTGAATTACGTGGAGAAGGTTTGGAACCCTATCAAGCATTTGGGTTGCTCTCCGTGTCTTCATTGGGGAGATTTACATTCATTTCCTGCTGGAAGTGCCATGAAAAAAAAGAAATTCCCCACAATGGTGACACAGGCAACAATGAATATCAATGAAGAAATATATTCTCCACTTCTAAGTCCATAAGGACACCCTCCAAGCAACCTGAGTACCAAAAGCTCATCATATGCCCCAAACTGCCACTGAACCCAAAAAAGAAAAAATTGGTGGCACTCCATTAAAATTCAATACAGTTTTATTGTTCCAGACAAGCCAACATGAAGTCCCTGTCTGGGACCTGCTCCTTTGATGTTGTTTTATCCAAGGAACTGAGGTCAATCTTGGAGATGATTAAGCCCAGCCTCTTGAGTTACCGACAAGTTGGGTTCTGCGCTAGCTACATTTTTTTTAGGTCCTTCCTTCCTACCTGGTGTAATATAAATAGGGTTAAGGATGGGGTTGGTTATGCCTTGGAGGGGAAGGGGTTAACCTGTTCTGGTCTCCTTTACCGGGTTTGTTTAGGTCTTGACTCCCTACCCGGTGTTATATAAATAGGGGTAAGGTTGGGACTGGTTCTGCCCAAGTAGGGAAGGGGTTACCCTGTTCTGGTCTCCTTTACAGGGTATTTTAGGTCTTGCCTTCCTACCTGGTGTAATATAAATAGGGGTAAGGTTGGGCCTGAAAGAGAGAGAGGCCACTCACACTCTGACCCGTGCCTTCTACTATGGACTGAGGGCATTAAAGAATCTGCATTGGAGCACTGGATTGCCGGAGAACTACCATTCTTTGGGAAATGCCAACTGTGGACTCACTCCTGTGACTCCTCCTCCCAAAAGGTGCCTCTCCGTGTTGCCTAGGGAAACTTAGTCTTTGGGAGCAGTGATGTGGACCTGCCTGGCCCCGCCTGGTCCCAGACAATGATGAGCGTGAACACACAAGCCAAAGGTACCCCATGTGCACGGACGAAGGTAGTCCCCACCCACACGCATGTTTGTATTTTGAATGGCACATGCGTGGCGCGAAAGCCAATATTCCTTATTAATTTCAGTAGACCAAGAGCCAGTGCATGCTCAGTATGAGTGGCAGGTGAGATTTCCCTGGAAGGCACTGGTAAAATAACCTTCCCAGGGGGTACCTGTGAGGCCCTGGATGTGCCACCAGTGCCTCAATAGACCAGTTTTCATATTCCGAGGGAAAACCAGATCACAATTGCAAAAGGAGAAGACACACTTCTGGGAACAAAATGGTACATAAACAGCCTATGGTCTTTTGGGCTTCCAGCATGTTGCTATACCTTTACAAACACCACAGCTAGAGCAGATATTCTATCTGAGCCTGATCTTGGTGATGTTATCCTTCTCCTCCTTCGAGGCCCACTGCGTCAGACTATTCTCCCCAACCCCCCTGAAGATTGCTGTGATATATCGGCCTCCTGGATCCATACCCCCCTTCCTGGATGACTTTTCCTCCTGGCTACCCTTCTTCCTCTCCTCTGAGCTACCCACCATCATCCTTGGGGATTTCAACATCCCTGTCAACCTGGACAACCCGGACACATCCCATCTCCTCCACTTAACCTCCTCCTTTGCACTTGCACAGTGCATACAATCCACCACCCACTCCGACGGTAATATCCTTGATCTTGTCTTCTCCAACCGCTGCGCTCCCCACAACCTCACTAACACCCCCTTCCCTCTCTCTGACCACAACCTGATTACCTTCTCTATCTCCTAGTCCTCCAACGCCTACCCCTCCAAATGTCACACTACTACCAGCCGTAACCTCCGCAACCTTGAACCCTGCCCCCCTCCACTCTGCAGCTGATCAACTCCATGACCGCATCCCCCCCCGTCCTGCCCCGACTTGGCCATGACCGCCTACAACAACGTGCTCTCAACAGCCCTTGACTCACTAGCGCCTTTAACCACACGCAACATCAGATCCCGACCGCTCCAGCCCTGGCAGACTGATCACACCAAAACCCTCAAACGACACAGTCGTGCCCTGGAGCGACTATGGAGCAAAACCAAATCCCAACAAGCCTTCACCCGCTACAAATCTGCCTTCCACACCTACACCTCCTCCCTCCAGGCAGTCAAACAAGCCTACTTCCTGACCCTCATCAAGGCCCTCTCCTCCAATCCTCGCCGACTCTTCTCCACCTTCAACTCTCTAATCTCTCCACCCCCACCTCCACCAGCACCTCACTCACTGCCCTTGAGATTGCCAATCACTTCAAAAACAAGATTGACACAATTCGCAAGGACATTGCCGCAACTCACACGCCCTCTCAACCCGTCCCCTCTCCCACAGCTACCCCCTCATCCCCCCTCTCCCTCGACATAACCCGCAGGGACTTCGTCGCTGCTCAAACTCCCTCCAACCCCGTTCCCCCTCCCTCAGCTACCCCCTCATCACCCCTCTCCCACGGCCCCACCACTGCTCTGACCTCCACTTGCACCCCAACCTACATTCCTCATACTGAAGCTCCCCCCAACACTCCACACCTTTGACCTTACCACCATCGAGGAAGTCTCCAAGATCCTCTCTTGGGGTCGAGGGGGCGCCTCACCACCTGCCCCCTCGACCCCATCCCCTCACAACTCCTACGACTTCCCTTCCCCCTCCATCCTACGCTCCCTCACCCACATCTTCAATCTCTCCCTCTCCTCAGGCACTTTCCCCTCCCCTCTGAAACATGCACACATCACCCCCATACTTAAAAAGCCCTCCCTGGACCCCAATGACCTGAACAACCTCAGACCCATCTCCATGCTCCCATTTACATCTAAACTCCTCGAGCGCCTCGTCTACACCCGCCTATGCTCTCAATCAACGACAACCACCTCTTCGATCCCCTACAGTCTGGCTTCCGTCCCCTACACTCCACCGAAACCGCCTTACTCAAACTCTCCAATGACCTTCTAACCGCCAAAGCTAATGGCCACTATTCAGTGCTCCTACTCCTTGACCTCTCTGCGGCCTTCCACACAGTCGACCACCCCCTCCTCCTCAAAAAACTACACTCCCTCAGCCTCAGAGACTCTCCGCTCTCTCCCGGCTCTCATCCTACCTGTCACAACGCTCTTTCAGCGTTACCTATAATGCTACCACCTCCCCCTCACTCCCCCTCTCTGTTGGGGTCCCTCAAGGCTCTGTCCTCGGGCCCCTTCTCTTCTCCATCTATACTTCCTCCCTTGGCCAACTCATACACTCTCACGGCTTCAACTACCACCTCTATGCCGACGACACGCAAATCTATCTCTCAACCCCCCACCTCACCCCTCGGTCTCTGCCCGGATCACACACCTACTGAGCAACATATCAGATTGGATGTCGCTCCACTTCCTTAAACTGAACCTCTCCAAAACCGAGTTTCTTGTCTTCCCCCCAGCCCGGACACCACCCCCCATTGACTTCTCCATCACATCCAACAACGCGACCATCAAACCCGCCCCCGCAGGCCAGAGTACTTGGTGTCATTCTGGACTCCAACCTATCCTTCCAGCCCCAAGTCCAATCTTTAACAAGCTCGTGCAGACTCCACCTCCGCAACATCGCCATGCAAAATCCGCACGACTCCACCTCAACTCGCCAAAAACGTTCCCCCAGAAACCACTAAACAGCTCATCCACTCCCTCATCATATCACGACTCAACTACTGCAACTCCCTCCTCACTGGCCTGCCTCGCCGCTGGCTATCCCCGCTTCAGTCGATCCTGAATACGGCTGCCAGACTCATTCACCTTTCAAACCGCTCCGTTTCCGCCACCCCCCTCTGCCAATCCCTCCACTGGCCTCCACTCAGTGTCCTCCACCCCCCCTCTGCCAATCCCTCCACTCAGTGTCCTCCACCCCCCTCTGCCAATCCCTCCACTGGCTTCCGATTGCGCAACGGATCAAATTCAAAATCCTAACACTGACGTACAAAGCCGTCCACCATACTGCCCCGAACTACATCACTGACCTGATATCCAAGTACCGCCCAAGCACGCACACTCCGCTCCTCACAAGACCTCCTTCTCTCTAGTTCCCTGGTCTCCTCCTCCCATGCCCGCCTCCAGGACTTCTCCAGGGTGTCTCCCATCCTCTGGAACTCCCTGCCCCAACCCATCAGATTATCACCTACTCTCCTCTCCTTTAGGCGCACCCTGAAAACCCATCTCTTCAGGGAAGCCTACCCTACCCCCTGCTAACTTGACCGACCTCCTCCACTCTTCCTACCACTCCATCCCCCACAGCTATCTCCTCCTGTACCACTATCCCCTCCCTACTAGATTGTAAGCTCCAAAGAGCAGGCCCTCAATCCCCTCATGTTTTGCATTGTATTGGTATTGTTCTGTCACATGTTCTGCCCCCCTTTGTAATGTACAGCGCTGAGCGAACTATTGGCGCTTTATAAATACTGTATAATAATAATAAATAATGTTGCACCCCTAGCACCCAT